GCCTGATGACCTGGTAGAAAGACTGCTCAGCAGTGACCCTGGACTTCTCTAAAGAAACATCTTTCCCAATACAGAGATCTATCTGGTGTCCTTCTCATTCTATGGCACGATATCTTATTGTCATAACTACATAAGAATCTCCATCTTCCCTCTAACAGGAGACAGAGAGCTGCAGGAGAGAACTGGCCAAGACGCGGGAAGCCGAGTGCCACGTGAGGGCGGAGTTTGAGGAGCTGGAGAGGACCAAAGAGCATGTGAGGAGCCATGTCAGCGCATTACAGGGCCACAGAGACCACCAACTGGAAGAGGTGAGAAGATAGGTTCTGTATTGTTTACAGTCAGTGCATCCCAATATCTGTCACTGTGTATCTGGATCCCAGCACTGTGCTGCGTAACATGTCAGTGCACCCTGATATCTCTCAGTATATATCTGCCCCCCAACATTGTGCTGTGTAACATGTCAGAGCACCCTGATATCTCTCAGTATATATCTGCCCCCCAACATTGCGCTGTGTAACATGTCAGTGCACCCTGATATCTCTCAGTATATATCTGTACCCCAACATTGTGCTGTGTAACATGTCACTGCACCCTGATATCTATCACTATATATCTGCACCCCAACATTGTGCTGTGTAACCCATGTCACTGCACCCTGATATCTCTCACTATATATCTGCACCCCAACATTGTGCTGTGTAACCCAACATGTCACTGCACCCTGATATCTCTATTCTGGATATTCTCTTTATCAGTAGCAGTCTTGGATCCCCCTACATAGGATATCAGATTTTGGATGATTGGCATACTCTGGAACTTTTTTAGGGGTAGGGTATGGAGTGGGGGGTGCTCTGTGCTGGAACTTTTTTAGGGGTAGGGTATGGAGTGGGGGGTGCTCTGTGCCGAAACCTATCTATTGGTTGCAGCATGTGCCAAAATGGTACCAATGGTTGGGGCACACTGCAGTGAATTGAAGAGTTTAATAATGAAGCAAAATAGGGGCGACTGAAGAAATGCCCGTGCATCAGGGCGAGGAAAAGTGTCCCTGCGTCGGTGATGTCACTGGAAAGAAAATTGATGCCGCTGTGTCAGTGGGAGGAAATAATGATGCTGTGTTGGTGTAAGTGGAGGAAATGGGGGGGTTGCTCTTTGGGGTGCATTGCACTAAAGAGCCCTGTGTTGCTCCAGGGAAGGGAAAGGGGCTGAAAGGGTCTGAATGAGGTTGGGTGGCTATGGGGCTTTAACATTTCCCTGGAGTCATTGGTCATCAGTATGAAGGAGAATAAATGGGAACCTGAGGCCTGCCGGAGGTAAGAAGTGTCAGCGTGAGGTGACAACATTGTCACCACAACACTTCCCTAAGTTCGGACCAAACTCCCTCCCATCTCCATGGCTGAGCCCATTCCCTGATCAACCCAGATATCGAAAATGGTCAGGTACACCACGTAATCCTAATTGGTTGAAGTTGTGAAGGTCACTTTAAATTGTGTCACAGGGTCACTGGTCACATGTCTTGCACCCTGATATCTCTCAGTATATATCTGCACCCCAACATTGTGCTGTGTAACATGTCACTGCACCCTGATATCTCTCAGTATATATCTGCACCCCAACATTGTGCTGTGTAACACGTCAGTGCACCCTGATATCTCTCAGTATATATCTGCCCCCCAACATTGTGCTGTGTAACATGTCACTGCACCCTGATATCTATCACTATATATCTGCACCCCAACATTGTGCTGTGTAACCCATGTCACTGCACCCTGATATCTCTCACTATATATCTGCACCCCAACATTGTGCTGTGTAACCCAACATGTCACTGCACCCTGATATCTCTATTCTGGATATTCTCTTTATCAGTAGCAGTCTTGGATCCCCCTACATAGGATATCAGATTTTGGATGATTGGCATACTCTGGAACTTTTTTAGGGGTAGGGTATGGAGTGGGGGGTGCTCTGTGCTGGAACTTTTTTAGGGGTAGGGTATGGAGTGGGGGGTGCTCTGTGCCGAAACCTATCTATTGGTTGCAGCATGTGCCAAAATGGTACCAATGGTTGGGGCACACTGCAGTGAATTGAAGAGTTTAATAATGAAGCAAAATAGGGGCGACTGAAGAAATGCCCGTGCATCAGGGCGAGGAAAAGTGTCCCTGCGTCGGTGATGTCACTGGAAAGAAAATTGATGCCGCTGTGTCAGTGGGAGGAAATAATGATGCTGTGTTGGTGTAAGTGGAGGAAATGGGGGGGTTGCTCTTTGGGGTGCATTGCACTAAAGAGCCCTGTGTTGCTCCAGGGAAGGGAAAGGGGCTGAAAGGGTCTGAATGAGGTTGGGTGGCTATGGGGCTTTAACATTTCCCTGGAGTCATTGGTCATCAGTATGAAGGAGAATAAATGGGAACCTGAGGCCTGCCGGAGGTAAGAAGTGTCAGCGTGAGGTGACAACATTGTCACCACAACACTTCCCTAAGTTCGGACCAAACTCCCTCCCATCTCCATGGCTGAGCCCATTCCCTGATCAACCCAGATATCGAAAATGGTCAGGTACACCACGTAATCCTAATTGGTTGAAGTTGTGAAGGTCACTTTAAATTGTGTCACAGGGTCACTGGTCACATGTCCATTGCAAAGGATACCTAGGATGATAATGACTGAGATTCCAGCACTGCTGGACGAGATCCGGCAAGCTCCCAGGTATAAGAATTAGCCAGTCTTGCGGTTAAAATGTATGTGTAGCCAAAACTTTTCTTTTTGGATGGGGTTTATTTGTTTTGCTGTCTGGGGAGATTGTCCTTCACTTCCTGTCCTGGTGATGCAACAGGAAGTGAGAGGAGATTTCTTGCATGTAACATAAATTCCTGTGTAGACAGTTGTCACTGGAGCAGGTGTCCCCATTGTAAGATTCCCACTCTTTTTTTGTTCTGGTGACAACTCTAATATGTTGGATGTCCCCTCACTTTCTGCCTCGTGACAATGGCTACCAGGACAAATAGAGGGTCAGTCTCTCTAATGGGCAGACAGACAGCAATAAACCCTCACAAGCAGGGGCATAACTAGAAATCACAGGGCCCCATAGCAAAATTTTGTATGGGGCCCCCGTGATTGCTAGTTATGCCACTTGCAGAGCCCACCTGAGAGTGACCCTGCAGAGCCCACCATAGACTCTCTATAGTGGGCTCTGCAGGGTCCGAGATGGCCTGCACACCTCTTACCTGTCAGCGCTGTCCGCCTCCGTGGTCCCCGGGCCCCGCCTCCTCTTCTATCGACGGGCTCCACCTGCTCTTAGGTCGCTGGCCAGTGATGTAAGAGGAGGCGGGGTTGCTCTTAGGCGGGCCCCGCCTCCTCCTTCACTGCGAGCACTGGCCTCTTCTGCCGTAGCGGCTGGCTGTCACTGACACTGCTCCGCAGCGGCTGTGAGGGGAAACGCCGCTGCTGAGCTGTGTCAGTGACAGCCAGCACCCTTACATGCCATAGCGACCCAGGTGGCCCACACGGCATCAGAGGGATGCCCTGGCCGGGCCCCCCTGTGCCCGGACCCCATAGCGGCCGCCTGGGTCGCTATGGCGATTGTTACGCCACTGCTCACAAGGATGCTAACCCTCTCCTACTCCATCCAAAACTAAATATAGAAATCAATAACAATCAGGATTTTTCTTCCAATGTTGGGGAAATGACAGGAAATCTCTACATGCTTCTTATGAGCCTCCTCTATTTTATTCTGTCCATATTGCCCCTCAACAACCAATCAGATTCAGACCTTCGGTCACCTGCTGTCATTTGCCGCTTCAGCTTGGAATATAGTTGGCTGCTGCGGGTCAATGTAGATTGTTGTTTCACCACTTTGACCAATGCAGCTCCCCAATCAGACCGGTAACTGCACAGAAAAGCTCTGTGTGTCCTGTGTGCAATGTGTCGCTGGAAGCTTAACTGCATAATATGAAGCCCCCCCTCCCCGCCATTTGTTAGCCATGTTGTGATGTCTCCTCTTGCAGGCTTGTCTCCAGTGGTCGGAGGTCCAGAGGCAACTGAGATTGTCGGATGTGGAGGAGATGAGGAGCTACAGAGCCCCCCCGGCCCCGGTAATAATGGTCTCTGATGTCCTGTGTGCCGTGTTTGGGAAAGAACCCGGATGGGAGAGCGCCAAACTACTGCTGGGACAAGAAGATTTCTATCAGGTACAATCTGAGTATTGTGGAAGCATCTACGTATATACAGAGTACTCTGGAGGTGAGTACTCTGGAAGTGTCTGGGTATATATACAGAGTACTCTGGAGGTGTCTGGGTATATATGTGGAGTACTCTGGAGGTGTCTAGGTATATATATGGAGTACTCTGGAGGTGTCTGGGTATATACAGAGTACTCTGGAGGTGTCTGGGTATATATATAGAGTACTCTGGAGGTGTCTGGGTATATACAGAGGACTCTGGAGGTGTCTGGGTATATATATGGAGTACTCTGGAGGTGTCTGGGTATATACAGAGTACTCTGGAGGTGTGCAGGTTACAGAATCCCCAGATTGCACCAGCTGGGGCTCTGTAACCTCCCGGAGTTGGAGGACTTGATGAGGGTTGTTGTCTTTGCAGGATCTGCAGTTCTATGATGGCGGTGGGATGTCTGACGCCACGTTCTCCGCGCTCTCTCGTGCAGTCAGCAGACCTGAGTTTCGTGCCTCCTGCCTCAGACCAGCCAGCGCAGCAGCTGCATCTCTGTGTGAGTGGCTACACGGTCTCCACCAATACTGCAGCGTGCTCCGGAAGCTGGAGAAGAGTCGAAGTCTTCTGTCCCGGGCAGAGGCGCAGGACCTGGAACTGGCCGAAAGGTTGGCGGAGCGAAGACTCCAACAGGAACATCTGAGGGTCCTGGGAGAGCAGCTATCCCCGCAACTGCAGGATGCCAGCAAGGGTAACGAGGACCTCCATAGACGGGTGACACTGTGTCAGGAGAAGCGGGATCTGGCGCAGGAGTATGAGGACAAGGCAAGAGCTCCCGAGTCTGCATGGAGATCTGCTCTGGAGGTAAGTCATGCTCCTGGACCTGTGGGGGGGACATTAGAGTGTAAGCTCCTCTGTACAAAGACTGATGGGACTGTGGGGGGAGGGGGGCATTAGAGTGTAAGCTCCTCTGTACAGAGACTGATGGGACTGTGGGGGGACATTAGAGTGTAAGCTCCTCTGTAGCAGTGGCTGGGCGTGTGTAATATGAGGATTCGGGTTCTCTGTGGTTCTCTGACCTTCTCTCTTTCCGTCTTCAGACTTTGAATAGCCGCCTTCAGTCAGTCCCGGCCGAGTCCCTCCTGGTTGCCGCCTCTATTTCCTACCTTGGCGGTCTCCCGTGGCCTCGCTGCGTGGCGTTGTTGGAGAAGTGGCAGCGGCTTTGCGATGGGTTGGAGGTTCCTCTGGATCCGGATGATGTGAGGGACTCTCTGGACGGCTCCGGGGACAATGGAACGTCTCTCCTCCTGGAGGTGCTCGGCGCCCCCGCGGAGAGGATCGGATGGTATAGGAGGAGATTGCCGGTCAGTATAGAGACACAGAGTCGTGCCGCACTGCTTCGGGCCAGCGGCCGCTATTCGGATACCCCGGTGCTGGTCACTGACCCGGATAACATGGCAGAGAGGTGTCTGTCGGCTGTACTGGGGGCAGAGGAGTCAGGTGAGAGCAAGCTTCAGGGGTACCCGGTGTTCTGGGGGGGGCCAAGAAACTGTGCCGGACTTCCTGACCCCTTTGTGAAAATACTAGTTACCTAGTAACTCCACATTTGCATCCGTCTTCTGTGCAGGGAAGCCAGCGGATCAAAATGACAGCCAGCAACTAACATTTTCCCACGGGGTTCAGGAACGGGAACATACAGTGAGTGCTGCTTTTATAACAGGTTCTCTTTAACCTTCTCTTCTCTGGACAGAGACATCTGAAGCCCCGGCAGGCCGGACACTGCATGTCATTGACGCTTCTGATCCGGAACTGACCCAGAAACTGTCCGATGGAGCGAGAAAACGTGAGACGTCCCAAAGAGTCGGGTCTATGTGTGGTGCCGGGTATATAATCTGTGTGTGTGGTGCCGGGTATATAATCTGCGTGTGTGACGCCGGGTATATAATCTGTGTGTGTGATGCCGGGTATATAATCTGTGTGTGATGCCGGGTATATAATCTGTGTGTGATGCCGGGTATATAATCTGTGTGTGTGATGCCGGGTATATAATCTGTGTGTGTGATGCCGGGTATATAATCTGTGTGTGTGGTGCCGGGTATATAATCTGTGTGTGTGATGCCGGGTATATAATCTGTGTGTGTGATGCCGGGTGTATAATCTGTGTGTGTGATGCCGGGTATATAATCTGTGTGTG